CGCTAGTAGGTTGGAGGCCATCGCTAGTAGGTTGGAGGCCATCGCTACTTGGTTGGACACCATCGCTAGTAAGTTGGAGGCCATTGGTTCTAGGTTGGAGGCCATCGCCACTTGGTTGGAGGCTACTGCAATTAGGTTGCTGGGCCGCACCTTTCTCCACTCCCAAGGGCTTTCTTCGCACAGCTGGACCCTGTGGAAGCAAATCTACTCTGCTGGCCATCTTCCACGGCCGCAACATCTAAGGATTAAAAGGGTTCTTTGCACGACAGGGTCGTCGACGCAAACTCTCTCTCTAAATGGCAGCTACACAGCATCGCCAATCCAGCTGGATGGGTCGGATTGGTCTCCCTGGCCGAGCAGCCCCAGTTGGCATCTTGGACTCCTGGGGCCAAAAACGAAGACGCTTCAACACAGCCTCCTGGTTTTCACACAAAAGCAGGTTTAAAAGTCCTTGCAGCATCTCTTGCACTGCTTTGTTGGTAGGTTGAAGTTGGTTGGAAAATTGAAAAAGTACTGGGGAGAATTGAGCAAGTAGAAGGGGATGGCTCCCGAAAGCCAAGTGCAAAAGCTGTCCTTCGACCAAAATCATCGCGACCTCCACAAAACATGCTTCATCCGTTCCCAACCTCCCCCCGGTCAACCTCCCCCACAGGAACTCGCAACCCAGTCCTAAAAGTCTTTGTCCAAAGCGAATTCCGACAGGGCTTCGCCCTGGCCGTAGCCCGCCATCACGCCCGCCTTCTGGTACTCACCGACCCCTGGAAGATGGCAGCTGGCTGATGAAAAAGTGGTCAGGATGAATGCTTACGATGTTCGTTCCATGACTGTTCACTTCAGTGGAGCACCTCCCTTAAAAGGATCTTTAAAAAAAGAACCTCGGGATGACTCCCAAACACATCCTTCAGGGCATTCACATAACTGTGAAATCTGGTGCAGTTTGGGGACCTGTTGACCTCTGACCTGATGGTCAAGAGCAAAACTTGCACGTCCCCTCTCAGAGAATTTGCTTTAGAAGGCACGCTTCTCGAAGAAGTTGGTCTTGCCCTGGAGGGAGATCATCTCCATCCAATCAAAGGGGTTGCTGCTGTTGAAGATCTTGCTGTGTCCAAGGGCTGACAACAGCCGGTCAGCCACAAACTCGATATACTGGGTCATGAGATCCTACAAATGACGTTACTCAGTTGCAATTTTGGGGAAAGACCTTGATGGAAGCACTAAGTCGCTGTGACATATGAAGACCCAAGATGTTGATTGGATCATCGTAAAGAGCTACCACAGCTGTCAAGCTGCAAAGTTGTGAACCAAAAAACCTGGTACTCACCGACCAAAGCACCATCACTCACTCCAAGAGCTGTCCTTGTTCATACCAATCAGGTCACAAGGGAGAGCTCCACAAATGAAGTCCCTCTCCACTTCAACAGCTCCTTTGATGATCTCGTGCACAATGTCCTCCAATTCACAACACATCTGAGAACATCTGAGACAGGCTGGTGACCAGCCGAGGTAAAGCACTTCACTTCGAATCAAGTGTCTGAAAAGCCGGACTGTGACTAACCTGCTTGGTTCGAACAAGTTCCCACAGTTCACACAGAATGGGAGCAGGAAGTGGGGCGACAATCTGAATCTGGCTGAAGACTTCACTCTGCCGAAGGCCGTCTTCAAGCGAACTCGCTCGGGGTGACTTAAGAATCCATGTTCTCAGCAAGCCCATTACTAACATGCTTTAAAACATGGGAGCCTGGCTTCGAGGAGTAGGAAGCAAAAATGTCAAAGTACCAAAAGTACCCACGTCTGCTCACCGCGGGACATCTCTGCCTTCCTTCAAACCAGGCAGACTTTATATTAGCCTCTGCCACCATCCATGTCCCATTGTAGAAGAGCTAATCACATTATTGTCGACAAAAGACCTCACCCCACCGCGACTACAAAAGTTCACTCCTCTGGCAGCTTGTTCTGCAGCATGCTGTACAACAAGCAGGCGAAGTCCGCGTGGAGACCTTCGTCACGGCTGATGAGCTCGTTGGAAAAGGTCAGCCCCGGCATCAAGCCCCGCTTCTTCCTTGCGAGATTGATGCCAACACAGATACAAAGAATGTCAACCAGCACAAGAGATTTTAGGTGCAAAGATGGTGCAAGAGTCCTAGGAATGAGATGTTGCGAAAACAATCCTCACACCGTTGCACAATGTTTGGACTACGGCGACGGGCCAAACTGGTCGAAGAGACGCAAAGGTGCAAAACTTCTCGTTTGAGCACGGCAAAGGCTGTCACCGCCGGGGAACAGAGTGGCCCTTGGACCTCCCTTTGGCTACTGGGATCCAAGATTAAGTTGCAAGGACACAAATTCTGTAAAATACAGGCACTGCAGCTGCCGTTGGAGTTGACAAATCTTCAGGGAACGCCAAAACGGAGGCATGTCTTGTTGCTTTCCTCTTCCCCGCAACTCCGGATTTTCTCTACCCACCGATCATCCGCGCAGCAAACGACCCAACCGTCTACGTCTGAGGCGCAGCCAGAAGAGCGCGCAAAAGGAGCCGCTAAAGAGGATACCCTCGACGGCAGCAAAGGCCACGAGACGCTCCGCGAAGCCTCGGGACATGAGGTTACAAGCAAAAATAAAAATAACCCAATACAGTAACCTATATAATAGCAATGGCCTGCCGCTTCGAAGGGTTTGGAGTGGACGGACCTGTTTTGTCGTGGAACGTTGCTGGCTTCGAAGATTCGATGTTGCACGACCTTCCAGGTTCGTTTCAGTGTCACTTGAAAAAAGCTGGGCTTGAGGACTAATATATGAGGACCCATTAGGACCCGATATGGACCCATATGAGGACCCATGAGGCAGGCCTCCATCCCAATTGCGATGGCCTCCAACCTAACGGCTACTGTGTGGCTACGCATGAACTCGGCAGATGAGGCGTCCAAATCGTCGAAGGATGGGAGCTGCTTGTCCAAGTGCAAGACAACTTCAATTCTGCAGCCCCGCAGCCCCTCCGGGCCCCTCCTCTACAAATAGTAACAAGTGCCTCGCTAGTAGTAACAATAAGAAAGGACAAACGAGTGCCATGTCCATGTTATTTGTAGAGTTGGGAGTGCAACATCACAAGCCAGCCAGCCAGCCAGCCAGCCAGCCATGGTCGGTCTTCTGCTCTGAGAAAGTGTGATGGTGGCGAAATACCATATATGATATATGATTGTAGGTATAATAATCTATATAATTGCATATTGCAGCCAAAAGGCGTCTAGGTATCTGCAGGAAATTGTTGTTCCCACTCTGACTGATGTATATCATTTCCATTGCACCTCGCCCCATTTGACCAAGAGACTAGCTTCACGGTTCATCCATTGCACCGCCCAGCGGGCTTTGTCTCGCACTGCAGGCATCGTATGGATCGCGTCAAAAAGTGTGTCCTTTTCCTGCGGATGGTCGGGAATCCACACAAGAGTGGCGGACAACGACAAAACATATTGATCAAGTGCGCGATGCTCTTCAGCCTGTTCTCTCATAGTGACTTTGAGCCAGAATTGTCCAACATTTTTGCCTACCATTTCTCTTTCTCTTGCTGAGCGTGCGGGAGTTCTGGGTCTTTCACGTTCTGAAACTCTGAAACTACTGCCGGCGGAAAAACCCTGCAAATCCCAAATGCAAGTAGACAACAAACAGCTTGGCAACCCGGGCAGCAATGATTCTGTGGAGCTTTGCCCGTGGCAACATCATAGCCGAAAAGACTCAGACTCTACCTTCTGCTCCGGGAGGGGCTCTGCAGTTGTATGGTAGGAACAAGAAGCTACTCCTGGCATCGCTACCAGGAGCAAGGACGCCACTTGGGGCTCCTGGCCGTACTACTAGGAACAAGAAGCTACTAGGGGCTCCTGGGAACATGCAGATTGCTCTTTTTGTGCGTTCGAAGCTAAACTCAGTCTGGTGATGCCGGCGATGGCACTTGGAAACATGACAAACTCCGTCACTTAGCTTCCACCAGTGTCTCCTTTCTTTCATTTCACTAGGGGTCAACGACCAAACCAGCTTTGTTGTTGGTCACAGAAAGCAAGAAAAGGGAGGTCTAAGTGTAGGCATAGCTTCAGCAGGATCTTTGATGTACTGCTCAATGAGCAGGGAATAGGTCTCGGAATGGATGTTCTCCATCGCGATTTGGAAGCCATAAAAGGCCTCAGAGTCTCGATTCACGGGCGCAAGAAACATCAAACTACCACACAAGGCTTTGCACAATGTCTAGCCGAGGAGAAGCAAATGGAAAGGTGGCAAATGATTGTTGGGCAACAGCTGCTCCTGAATAGACTAGACAATCGACTCGATCCAAGAAGCTCACTCTCTGTTTCCTTCAGCAAGTTCTTTCAAATTGAATTACAAGTTGCTGTGAGTTGCAAGACATTCCGGCGCATATTCGAACAGCTGAAAAGTCCAAACTTATAGACAAGGAACACCTCCCCTGAAAGTTCGGACTCCACAGGCGAGTCAGCCAGCTCCAAAAAATCCACCACAACCATCCACAGCAACCATGAACCATCCGCATTTCGAGACCTGTCATAAATGGTCACCCCTAGCACTGGACCTACAGGACACTGGGTTCGTCCCCAGCTGTCGAATCCTGTCCAAGGTGCCCGCGCTTCGGGGATCTGCACCTCGCTGGAGAACTGCGCAGCCAAGTTCTCCAAGACGATCCCGTCCGAGGCAGCGAAGAAGGCCAAGACCTGGGAAGCTAGTAACAAGTGCATCGCTAGTAGTAACAAGTGCCTTACTAGTAGTAACAAGAAGCTACTAGTAACAAAGGGATATACTACTAGTAGCAAGGACACTACTACCATTTTCTCCTGGCCTTTTACTACTAGGACCAAGAAGCTACTAGTAAGGCCAAGACCTCGTGGCACCGGTACATCGGGTCGTCCGGTCGTCGATGAGCATTCCGGCCGCGTTCGGCGTGCACGTCGTTCAGGGCGGTTCGTTCAGAGCGGTTCGAGCTCGCGGCCAGCGCTTTGGGCACAGAGGGATCGGTGAAGAAGGCAAGGCGCAGATTGGGACAGGTGTTGTCCACATTTCAAAGTGACTTGGCATTGAGTTGGAGGGAGGGATCAAACATGTGTCAGAGCTGCATGTTTCTGGTGGAATGATCGGACGTGAGATTTTGGGCATTCACTGCTTTGAGGTGCAAGTCTCATGTGACAACAGCATGAAAAGTCCCTCCTTTGCAAATAAAGGAGCTCCTGTCGCCCAAATGGAGGAATTATTTGGCGCGTGACAATTGAACTTCTCATGGGTGGTGCAGCGGTACAGGCTGTATATGGATGTTCATGTTAACATTGGATCATGGTTTTGGGGTGCCAAGCACGACGATTGCTCGGCTTGGACCCAGAGGTTGCTCGAAAACGTCCAGGAACCGTTCGCACTTCGAACCTACGGTCTTTCTTCGCCACGTTGGTTCGCACTATGGTGCTCTTGAAAGAAGACTCCTTAGAAATTCTGCTTACACATAAGAGTTTTGAGAACGAGATGTTCGCAAATTCTACGAAGACCTTTCCAGTTCCTCGCATTTGAGGCCAGCGCATGCAGTGTCTCTAAATGATTCTAAATATTCTAAATGCATCTAAATGCAACTTGGGGACATGCTTCACGAAGTGCTTCTCACCTCCGTCGTCGCTTTGCTGTTCGCGCAGGAAATGCAATCAGCGGGATATGATATATGAAATCTCTCGAAAGCCAGCAAAGCGCTCACTTGGCACCCAAATGACTTCAAAACTTCTTGTGGATAGTCACAATCACATCCTCTGTGGAGCAGCTTCCCGCTCCAAACTGTTGTACTGTTACCAGATCCAATCAGCATTACCTGAAATCCATGAAAGCAGTCTTGGAGGGAGACTGCTCGGAGCTAGACTTAGACTTCAAAATCCTTGCATGTAAACCTGCTGTCGGAAGAACAAGCAAAATGTTTAATGGCTTGGTCTAACCAAGGGTCATCAAACACGCGAATCTTGCTAGATGTGTCCTTCTCCGTCCCAAGTCGCTTACCCCTGTCGCCAAGGCACCCTCTGTCAACTTCTCCCAATCTTTGTTGTCCTGTGCGAGGTCGATCTCTTCGGCCGTCCAGAAAGAGGCCTGGCCGCCAGGGCCGCCAGGGCCGCCAGGGCCAGGCGAAGCCACGAAAACTCCAGTGATGGCGCTTCCGAAACGAAGGACCAAAATGCACGTGTGCTGAATCGCTTTACGGGTATAGTGCGTAAAGGTCATTTGGAGATCCTTCAAGGTCCTTTCTTTGCTTCCTCTGGAAACTAGAACCATTCATGTCAGTGGCAGGCATGCTTTCACTGAGGTCCCCGGGTCTGCCTCGGGCCAGGGGAGGATTGTTCTCTTCAGGAGCCACTGCCCTATGAGAGGGGAAGGCCTCCCACCACCTTCTGCATCTCTTCTGAACATACCTCCAAAAATTTGTTTGGCAGAGGACAAATTGCCACAACATGCCAAGACCATCTACGCTCTGTGATCTTGAGGTCATTGTTTTCTAGCCAGGACCAGGTGATCCGCTGTGGCATTGGCGGCATTCACTGGGTTCTTGACTGCAATAGATACAGTATCCATAAAGCAAATTCATTGCTTGATTGATGATCTTTCCAAGTCGTCTGTGATGCAATGTTGTGGCGACCGACCGAAAGTTATATTAATGTTCTTACTAAGACCCTGGATTGCCTTCAAAGCAGCAGCTATTCTCAAAATCTGCCCAGGTGCTTATTGAAACAAAAAGCTCAATGAGGTTCATGGGGTGTCCATCTGTCTTGTTGCTCTCTCTCTCTCTCGCGCGCGCGCGCGCACACTCTCTGACATGGTGGAGTCCGAGGGAGCTCGAGATATCAATGCGCCCACAAACCATGCGCCACGCCTCATGCTTCTTGTAAAACTCCCAGATGGCGGGGAACTGGATCGGGAACATCACCCATCGCCTTGGATTCTCCTTGAGCAAAGGCTCCTTCTTCTCAAGCTCCTGAAGAACATGACCCGGTGATCACAACTCCCAACCCATGAAGTTCACATGAAATCTTGATTTTTGCATAAGCTACAGGTCAAAAGATGTCAAAAGCCAAAAGCCTAATATCAAGACCCATTCCTTGATTGGGTAAGCTAGGGGGTGGAACAGCGGCACAACGAGGCCTTCCACTCGTCGGAGACTCGGCTCTTCTTGGGTGCAATGGTCACATCAAGGTCGTGAGACGTGGCCATGGCGGGAAATTGCAGTGATCCAAAAAACTACGTGGCTTGGGAGCCGAAAATCTCGTGAGTTGTTGTGGTCCTGTGCTGGAAGGCTGGAATGAATGGAACAATGAAGAGCATGAATGCAAGAACTACAGTAAATTGAATTATATAAGACTTGTATTCACTCCAAATCAATGGAACAAGGACTTCACTCAGAAGTGGGATGAACTTGTCGCATGCTTCCTGCAAAACCTGTGTTTTTTGAGGAAAGCAAGGTGCTGTCAAGCAGCGAATGAACGGTCAACCAACCAATCCAGATCCAAAGATTCCCCCAGGGGTTGTCCGCAGACCAAAACTGTTGTCATGTCTGTTCATTTCTCACCCAAGCCATGTGATTCATGTGATCATCAGTGTGTTGTCTCTGGCCTCACATCTGCAAGGTCTCTGTTGGTCTTGGCGCATATACCCTCAGCAAGCGCCCCCAACATGCAGAAGCAAAACTTGAAGCCGGGAAAGGTTGAATATTCATTTTGAATCGGTATCTTGAAACTATCGGCTTTATCTGTGTTTCTTCTTCCATGAAAATCCGGTTACTGTACTGTAATCAATATACATGTGGATCAGTGCAACAAAACAAGCTGTGCTCGCCTGCAGCAAGCTTTGCATAACAACTCATACAGCAAAAAGAATGCTGAGTGGCTTCTCACAAATCTGAAAAGGGTAGTTTCAAAAACTGCGCTGTTGCTGTTGTGAAGAAAAGGAGGATGTCTTCGTCCCATCTCTTCCAATCGCTGTACCTTGTGGTCGTCGCTATTGAGCAGCTCCATGGCGCCCTGGGGAAGCCACGGCCAGTGGCCAGGTCAAGTCGATGAAAACACGGGATATGGTCGGACATGGTGTCTGATGGTGTCTGATGGCAAGAAAATCGGTTGGGCCTTTGGTGTGATCCCACATAATGCTACATCTATATACGGTGAGGTCACCATGTTTAGCGAACAACATATTATTGAGGAGGCATGATGGACTTGACAGGTGGTCCAAACCTTTCCTTTTCTAGACCCATATCAAGTCACCAGTCATGAATGTCAGCGCCCATATTTGAGGAATTTGATTATCCTTTCCGGTGGTATTATATACTCCTTTGTTTTTTGGGAGGCTTCTCGGCACACACTCCAAATAGGACAGCTCCGGAGGAAAGTCGGCGCGGCGCCGCAGCGCCGCGTGCCTTGCGAGGTGCCACCACCTCCAGGGGGCATTTTTCCAGCACCACCACCTGACAATTGAGGCATCTTTCTTCCCAAAAGATCTGCAGAGAATTTGCAAAGCTGGAGGGTGAGGCCCGGTGAGGCTGCCGGCCTCCTAGCCATGCCCCCGATGCAAATAACATCAAACCAGTACCCTATTGGATCCGAATCATGAGGTCTGGGAACCTCAATGTGTGGCATTGGCTCTGGTCAAAGGCCCCAAACATGTGCACTCACAGAACTAATGAATTGGAGGACCGCGTCCTGCTCCCTACAGGACGTGATTACAGGCATCAAAAGCTTGGAGAACATCAATGTAGGGCTTCCCCCCTCAATTTCAGGCACCGCCCCGCGGCAACATAGCAGTACATCGAGGAGAAATCTGGAGTGGAGGATATCCCATGACTCCAACCTTACCTAATAGCGATGGCCTCCACTAGCGATGGCCTCCAACCCTACATGTTTAAAATCAATCGACAACGACATGGATCAGACCTTTTGGGCAATCCTTTTGGACTCCACGGTACCCCTGGGCGCCCCAGGCAACCCGCCGGGCATTCATTCGCTCCTGGCGACGGTGTGTCTATGTGTGTCGACTGTTATGTTCTTGATGAAGAGAATACTGCAGCTTGTGTGTAGTACTTATGCTATCTAATCTATTGTTTATACAAGCAAAAAATACGTATTATGTATATATATATATTACAGTATTGACATTGTACATATATATATATATAACTTCCACTAATGGGCAGCCGCCTACGACAAGATTATTGAGGTATTTTAAACTATAGATCCATTCGGTTCTGGGGAGGGCGTTGTTCGTCTCCTCTAAGGTCCGCGGAAGGAGCTTGTCGGCCGCTGAAGGGCCTTCAATCTTTTCCTCGGTGCGTGGAGCAACCAATGAGGCGAGCATCCTGATCATCTGGGACCCTGGAAGGGGAAGGCCAAACGTCCAGGAATCCGCTGGTGCATAAGTGGATTTGTTAACCCTACAAATTCACGTCTATCGCAGCAATTCGTTCCTTGGCAACGGTACCTTCCCACTTCTAAAATCGGTGATCCTCCGCCTCCGATCACTCTGGGATCCTAATCGAGCTGCAAACCAGTTCGGAAAAACACGGAAAGCGGAGCAGCTGCATTTTATTGCTGGGTAGTCGGACCTCTTTTTTTCATGGCTTTAACGGTGTTGTACGTACACTACGCAGAAGACCACCTGCCCAAGTCGAACGGCAGAGAAAACAAGTATATAACCTTACACTTGTCGGACCTAAGTCTGTCGGGTTTTTACGATGTTATACGCACATGACACAAAAAGACTACCTGCCCAAGTCAAACGGCAGAGAAAAAACAGCCAAGTGGACGAACATCGCCGCAAAAAAGTAAAATAACAGCAGCAAAGCCTTCAACATAGATCCCACAGCCCCAATCACTTCCAACATACCTCCACGAGAAGCCCCAACAGAGCCCCAACATTGGGCGAAACGTGCCAACATGGAGAAGGATATGCCCTAAGAATGCACCAAGATCGCCGAAGATTGGTGCAAACATGCCCCAAATTTGACTGCCCATTGGAGCAAGCTTTCGTAAGCAACAAAAACGACAAAACTGTCAAAGCCACCTTTCTTACACTTGTCGGACCTCATTTTCATGGATTTATGGCGTTTTACGCACAGTACGCAAAAAACCACCTGCCAAGTCAAACAGGGCAGAGAAAAAGCAACCAAGTGGACCAACATGGCCGCAAAACATAACAGCAGCAAAGCCTTCAACATAGCCCTGATCTAGACCCCACGGCCCCAATCACTTCCAGCATACCTCCACGAGAAGCCTCAAGAGAGCCCCAACATTGGGTGAAATGTGCCAATATGGAAAAGGGTATGTCCCAAGAATGCACCAAGATCGCCGAAGATTGGCACAAACATGCCTCAAATTTGACCACCCACTGGAGCAAGCCCGCATAAGCAACAAAAACGACCAAAAATTGTCAAAACCAACTTTCTTACACTTGTCGGACTTCATTTTGCATGGTACATACTTTTCTATAGTGCTTTACACACACTACGCAAAAGACCACCTGCCCAAGTCAAACCGCAGAGAAAAAGCAGCCAAGTGGACCAACATGGCCGCAAAACAAGTAGCATAACAGCAGCAAAGCCTTCAACATAGCCCTGATCTAGACCCCGCAGCCCCACTCACTTCCAACATACCTCCACGAGACGCCTCAAGAGAGCCCCAACATTGGGCGAAACAATAACATAACAGCAAAGCCTTCGACATAGCCCTGATCTAGACCCCACGGCCCCAATCACTTCCAACATACCTCCACGAGAAGCCTCAAGAGAGCCCC